GCCTGTGCATCCACCTGAGGCTTCCCTCAGAACAGAGGAGAAGGGACACAGGGGAAGTGTTTGCAGGGAGGTGACTTTGTTTCTGCAGAATGTCATTTTTGACACTTTGTTTCTGGATTTTTTCCCTGAGCACACTCCTGAGGGAAGCTGAGCTTTCCCCTGTCCCATCCCAGGAGCTCTCAGCTGTCCAGGCAGCCCGGGCTGAGGATGGGGATGGCTGTGGGATGGGGAGGTCCCCTTGTCCCAGTTCTTTTTGGGATCCTGGCTTTCCCCCCCCATTCCAGTGTCCTGGGCCAGGCAGGGTCACAGCAGAGCTGCTGAGAACTGTCAGTGTTGTGGACTTGGCTTGGTTTGTGCCCTCCAGACCCACCTGACCTTTGGCAAGGAGTTCACAGAGGCAGTGGAAATGAAGCAAGTGGCCCAGCAGGAAGCTGAGAGAGCCAGATTCATTGTGGAAAAGGTAACTTGTCCTTCTGAGAAACCTGGAATTGGTTCCTGGTGTCTCCTTCCCACTCCAGCTCCCAGTGAACATCCTGCTCACCTGCTCAGAGCCTGGGCAGGTGAAGGACAGAGTCCCCGAGGGTCACAGTGCTGAGATGGCCCTGGATAAAGCCCCAGGGTGGGTTTGGGGGTCTCTTTTTCATCTCCTGCCCCAGTCAGTGTTCCTGGAATGTTGAACAGAAATGCCTGCGTGGAGGAGGGAGGAAAAGCCAGTCGGAAATGGGGTCCAAGGATGAGATTTGCAACCAATTTCCTGCTGTTTGTGGAATTTGGAGAGGGTGGTCAGAGCTTTGCAGGGTGTTTGATACCCTGTTTGATGCACAGGGATCTGTGTGCTGGGAGTGTCACTGACAGGTAATCTTGGATCAACCCAGGATCTCAGGGAGCACCTGCAGAGACAATTCCATGTTCAGTACAGGTGTTCTCAACTGTTCTGTGCCTGTTGAGATGGCAAGAACCTGCAAAATGCCCCAAAATCAATCCTGTGGGTGCAGCAAGATGCATGTCAGCAGCCAGGCTGATTAAACAGTTGATCTGACCTGGTTTGAACTCTCTTGCTAAAGTTCTCCAATCCCTCCTGGACAATTTTCCACCCTCAGGTGGATTAATGTTTCCTGAGGTTGAAAATCATCTTGGAATTGTCTTTTTTTTTCCCCACAGTAGGCAGAAAACCAGTAAAAGATGAACTTACCTTGACTTTCTACCTGAGGGGAGAGAACAGGAGGGTGGGGAGGTGGGACGGGGTGTTTCCAACACGAGACCAGCACCGGCCTTGGGTTTGCTCATTTCCTCTGCAGAAAAATCATCCCTTCACCTTTCCTTTTGCTTGCAGGCCGAGCAGCAGAAGAAGGCAGCTGTGATCTCTGCTGAGGGGGACTCCAAGGCAGCAGAGCTCATTGCCAACTCCCTGGCCACGGCCGGGGACGGGCTGATCGAGCTGCGCAAGCTGGAGGCGGCCGAGGACATCGCGTACCAGCTCTCGCGCTCCCGCAACATCACCTACCTGCCCTCCGGACAGTCCGTGCTCCTCCAGCTGCCTCAGTGAGCCCTTGGGCCCCTGCCCTGCCGGCTCAGCCCTCTCCAGAACCAAATCATCGCGGTTTCCTCCTGGGTAAAAGCAGAGGAAACGGAAATCGACCCCTTTTCCAATTGGTAAAATCCAATAAAAGCCGACGCGCGTTGACACCAGAGCTGCGTCTCCTCCCACGCGCGGCAGAGCTGCGGCTTCACCGACCACCCGAGGCTTGAGAATTGCCCCTTTCCAGGCAGCCTGAGCACCAGGAGCAGAGTTTCCCATCTCCTCCCTCCTGGGATGAGCAGGGTGACTCCCTGGGCCGTGTCCATCAGGGCTCTCGGCTGCCTCAGTGCCTTCAGGCCGCTGCGGAGCGGCAGGGCCTGGACTGTGGGACAGGGCTCACCCTCCAGCCAGTCCTGTAACAGGGTCACCTGAGAGCAAAAGGACTCCTCAGCTTGGGGCAGTGGCTCTGCTGTGCCCGTGGGAAGCACAGCCCTGGCAGCTGGGGGCACAGCTCCGTGCTGGGGTGAGGAGGGCAGAGATTCCTCTGTAGGGGATGGATTCCAGAAGGTGGCTCCTCTGCAGGGAATCCTGCTGGAATCAGGACCTCTCTTGCCCCTGTTGCTGCCCCCTGCTCTGTTCCTCCTGCCCAAGGCCAGCCCTGGCACAGGGAGGGGTCACTGGGTGCTCTGTGGCTCAGGCAGTCGGGGGTGGGCAGAATTCTCTGTTCCATCAACGCTCTTTTTTATTTCGGGAGGCCGAGCTGTGAGGAGATGTGATGGGGGAGAGTGTGTAACCAGCCTTCAATAAATGTCACAGGCCCGAGGGGGGCAGTGTGGGTCGTTGCTTTATTTTCTGCTGTCTCAGAAGAACGAAGGTTGGGTCAGCGGGGCAAGACACGTCCTGCTTGTGCTGGATTGTGGGGTGAGAGTCACCTGGCACAGGTAAATGTGATCCTGAGGAATTAGAAGCTTGGAACATGAGTCTTACACTGAATTCCTGCAACAAGGTAATACCTTTAACAAGTGTCTTGTTTTTGTGAGGGTTTTTACTGCTCTCCCTGCACAGTTCCAGCCTGGCAGCATCCTGCAGGTTGGATCTGTTATCCCTCAGCACCAGCCTGGGGTGGGTGTCACTGCTGCCCTGAGGGTTCCTGTGGAGCCTGCTGGGGAGGGTGGGCTCCTTTCAGCCCCTTGCACTTGTTGCCCTCACTTCTGGTGACGTGGAAAGCCTTTCCTGCTTTTTCTGCTGGGCAGGGAGTGCTCCTGCAGTGATGAGGTGCCTGAGCTTGCAAAGTATTTCAGGCAGCCGAGGACTCGGGTACGTAACTCCCAAATAACTTCCAGATCTCTTTCCCCTCAGGTGCTCTTGTTCTTTATTCTTCTGCTTTACTGCTTCAGACACTTCTGGGGAAGCTTCCACTGTTCTCCCAAGGCTCCTTTTAACCCCCCCTCGGTGTTTCCTGCTTTAGTTTCACACTCCAGGTGTTGGGCTCCGAACAGTGGGGCTGAAATCCCTGCTCAGCTCCCGGGGCTCTGCGTTCCCTCTCCCTCCATGTGGAGATTCCAGTGCAGTGTGGAGTGTTTCCTGCTGTTACCTCTCTGGAGGAGGTGTCTGAGGCTCTGTCGGTGTCCCCTGGGTCTGATTAATCACTGTTTCCTTTGCTTTTGGGTGTAATTCCTTCTACAAACGTTCCCTGTCTGTTAAACTGCTCCTTGACCCTGTCCCTGCCTCCCTTAATGCCTAAAGCTGCCACCAACTCATCCCACTTCAAAGCTGCTCCTGAACCTGGGGCTGTTTGGGGTGTGTTAGTCCTGGTTTGGAGTGTGTTTGATGAACTCCTTGTTTATGTTGTGTTTATTGCTGCTCAGAGACCTGGCTCCAGATGGGAATCGTGGAATATCCTGAGCTGGGAGAGACTCACGAGGCTCAGAGTCCAACTCCTGGCCCTGCACAGGACACCAGGACAGTGTTGTCCCAAATGGTGCCCCCTGAGGGGAGGAGGAGAAACCTGGGACCAGAAAAGCCAGTGGCCCCTGGCCTGGCTGTCCCAGCTGGATTCCCACTGTCTGCATGGAAGAATTTCCTGCTTTGGGCAGTTTTACCAGTTCTCTGCTGTGTGGGGGCTTTCTGCTGCTTCCTCTGCTCAGTGTTCCTTCATTTTTGTCACCTATTTGCACAAAACACTTGGAATTTAGTGTATTTAACAACTTTTAATCCCTCACCCAGGTACCCCTGGATCTTCCCATTTCCCACCTGGTTTCTGGGTGACCCTGCCCAGATGATCTCCAGAGGTTCCCTCCAGCCTGAACTATCCTGGGATTCCGTGATTTTCCAACAAATTGTCACACTTGGCACCAGACTCTCGGGGCTGGGGAGTGTTGTGTGGTTGGGTGATGGAGGCTGGGGCTGTGCTGCTCACGGTGGCAGGAGGAAGGACTGGGAGAGGTCCCCCTTTGCAGAGGTCCCCCTTTGCAGAGGTCCCCTTTTCCAAAGGTCCCCTTTTGCAGAGGTCCCCCTTTGCAGAGGTCACAGGCAGAGGAGCAGCAGGGCCTTTCCCTGCTGGTTCCCACCAGGTGGCAGCAGCAAATCTGCTGGGGAGGGACCGAAGGTGTCCCTGGGGCTCCCCTGGGGACAGCAGAGCTGGAGGTCACCCCGGGCAGGGCAGAGGACATGGACAAGGACATGGACAAGGGCAAACCCAGGCTCCAGGTGAGGAGGGAAGAGCCCAGGCTGGCACAAGAGCTGTCTGACAGTGTCCCGGAGGGTTCAGTCCCTGTGCCAGCCTGTCAAATAAACCTCTGGTGCCCTTTCCACTCTGCAGCTCCAGGTTTTAGCCCCTCCAGCCCGAGGCAGCACATGGAAAGGTGCAAATGCCTGTCCCTCCCTAACCCTGGTCCCAGGGTGGCTCAGCTTTGCAGCCCCCAGAGCATTCCCACTTTCCCACCATCCCTGTGTTCATGGTACTGCTTCAGGGGGCACAGGAACAGAGGGAATGTGTGGGAATGGCTTCAGAGGTGTGAGTTGGTTTAGCTTGGTGTGAAAACACAGCCCTGAATTTTTGGGTCCAGAACATTACTGGGATAAATCCATGCTAGAGGGCCCAGTGTTGGTAAAAGCCTGGCAGTTTTTAACCTAAAGCCCTGGAGTCTTGTGGCTTCAGTGATTGACGGCAGCACTGACTGGTTTTTTTCCTTCCTGGGAGACTTTTCCTTCCTTCTTCCTTTCATGCCAGTGGCAGAGAGAGCTCTGCAGCAGCTGGGCCAGAGCAGCCCAACAGGCTTTTGGTCAGGATAAACAAACAGGAAGCTGCCTCATTTCCTCTGTGTGTTCCCCCTCTCCTGAGCCTGCTCTGTCCCTGTTTAACAGATAACCAGCCTACCTGCCTTGGGAAGAGGACGTGGAAAGCCACCCCATGGATGGGCCCTTGGAGCAGTGGGGATGTGCAGCTCGGCTGGAATTTGGAACATCCCCTGCTCTTGGACTCTCCTGCAGCACCTGGGCCGGGCCCTGCCCAGGTGAGGGAGGTCCCCAGGCTGGGGTAACTCGTGCCCTGCAGCAAACTGGCAGCGTGGCTGCAGTGGGCAGAGCAGGAGATGGGGAGGAGTTCCCTCATTGCTCCCGTCCTGCTGTTCATATCCAAGGGGATCCAGCAGAAAATGCCTGCCCTGGAAAACAGAGGGTGTGGGGGGAGGAAGCACTTGGAGAAGCCAGGAGGAAAGAATGTCCCAGCCAGGCTGGAGCTCAGCTCAGCTGGGAGAAGGGCAGCAATCCTTCGGGCCAAATTTGGTTTCACTGTTCCTGGCCTGGCACCGGGGCTGGGACGTTCCTCCTGTGCCTGTTTTCCATCAGACCTGAGCTGACTCCAGCCCAGCACGTCCTGCCTCAGCCAGGGGGAGGCTCAGAGGCAGCTGAAGACCAGGTGTGCACAGAAAGGACTCCAGTCAAACCAGTTTGTTCCTCACCAGCAAAGGTACAGGGACCCTTCTCGCACTGCTTTGTCGGGGCTGATGCTGGGGGGAGCAGAGGTGTCTTTAACCCAGAACAGAAATGTCCAACAGCCTCCTCTGGGGACATTAATTGAATAATTACTCCAGCACGAACTTTAGAACTTCCTTTATGTGACACCTGAGAGATTATAACACAACAGCAAAGCTGATTAAACAAACAACGAGGAGTAAAATCCTCTGGTTCTGTGTTTCCCTCACTCCCATCCCGCTCTTGGCCAACTGCTGCATCCCACAGTCTGTATCTTCCTTTCTCAAAAAACCAAAAAGCACAAAACCGAGGCCACTCAAAGAGAAGTTTTATTTTTTTTGGTGGCACGGTTTTTGTGCAGAGGCCGATGGTTCTCACAACACAGTCATGCTACCCCAGGACCCCAGAGGCAGTTAATAACCCCCCAGAGCTCTGATCTGGGGCACAAGGAGGTGCTGGTGGGTGTGAGCTCTGCTGTGTTACTTGGAGGCAATTCATCTTTAACTGTGGCTTTACACTGAACTAAGAGAGGAGGAGAACGGGAATGGGAATTTCCTCTGCCTGAACTTCTGCTTTGCTCTGGCCTCAGAGCCCAGCGCCTCAGCTCTCGGGGCTGGTGGTTCCCTCACACAGCACAGGGCTTCCTGTGACCAAAGCTGGCAGGAAAACCCCTTTGTTTTCCTTTTGCTTCCTTTCCCATTGCTTCAGAGGATCCCGAACCCTGCAGGACAGAGCAGGATATCTAAAAGATAAAGTGTTGGTCTGAGAGTGGGGTCCAGCCCCAGGCAGGGAGGTGTCAGCACCCTGTCTGTGCCTCGGTTCCTCTGCCCACCCTTGGATTGTTTTCCCAATCCTGTTCTCTCTAGGGTCCTTGAGCAGCACCAAGCTCCCCTGGGGAAGAAGAAATTGTCCCAGCTGCATTTCCACAAGTGTCACAACGTGGAGGCCTCAGCACAGCCCCAGGCACGGGGAGAAGGGCGAGTGCTGCTCCCCAAACCCCGCTCAGGGCCAGCCCTGGCACCAGCACCAGTCACCCCCCAGCACAGAGGAGGCAGGTGGGACAGCAGGAAGGCAGCCCTGCCTCCCTGGTGCCTGTGGGAACACAGAGGGCTGGAAGGGCTGAGGAGCTTCCCAGGAATCCTCCCAGCAGGAGGCCGGATGGAGCAGATCCATCAGTGCCTGGGTAAAGCCAAGAGCTCTGCAAGCTGGGCCCCATCTGAGCAGCACAGCTCCCGTGGGGCTGCAGGGCTGGGCAGGGTCTGTCCCACCAGAGGATTCCAGCCCTGAGAGCCCTGTAAAACAACCAGAGCAGATGGGCCAGAACACCCAGCCTGGAGCTCACCCCAGTTTGGTTTTCTCCTCCCCACACCATCCTGCAGCTGGTGCCAGAGGTGACCCCCGGGACAGTTTGCTGCATCTCAACAATACCCTTGTCACATTTGCTCCCTCAGCAGGTCCAGAACATCCAGTGCTCTCCAACACCCACAGGTGGGTGACACCGTGTTCTGCTGCATCTGCTGCCCCTGGCCCAGCACATTCTCCAACTTTTGTGGTGCTTTTTACCCTGCTCAGCCAAAACCCCTGGTTCTGAGGGAGGGACCCTGTCACCCACTGCTGCTGCTGCAGCCCCTCAGGGAGGAACTGCAGCTCTGCATCCCCTGTCTCTGGGGCACAGAAGGGCATTTCCCACCCTGGTTCTGCCCGGAGAGAAGGGAAATGCCAGGGAGAGGGGGCACGGGAGCACAGCACGTGGCTGAGCAGGGCAGGAGCTGCAGAGCTGCCTCGAGAAGAGAAGCTCCAGAGCAGCGTGGAGAGAAAGGAAATGGGGGCTGATAAGGATCTGTGGCTGGAGGCAGGTGTGTGCTCAGAGCCCTGCTCAGAGCGGCTCCTGTGCCAGCAGGGACCGGGGCTGCTTGTGTTTGCTTCCCTCTACCTGCCTGACATGTCTCCTCACGTCAAACGAGATCAAAGGGAGGGCTGGAAGGAGCTGGAACAGGCTTCCCTGTGGGAACAGGGCTGAGCAGCACAGCTGGATCCCTCCCTGGGAACAGCACGAGGAGCTGTCACCCCCATCAGCACAGCAGGGAGGGAGGAGAGCAAAGTGTGCCCTGCTGGGTGCCCGGGGCAGCCAAACCAGTCCCTCTCTCCCTCCAGCTGCCTCTTCCCTGGGCCACCACGGCTGCTGCTGGGACACAGGCAGGGATGTGAGGACCAGTTTGGTTTCCTCGTGCCAGGAGTCCAAAGATATTTGTCTGTGGCTGCCTTTGTGGCTGTTGAACAGTTTATTCCTCGTCTGTGCTCCTCTGGACAAGAGCACCTGCTGCTTTCCAGGGTCCCTCTGCTGGAACCCCACATTTGGAGGAGGGATCTGTCACTGCTGACTTGTACATTCACCTTCCAAGAAGAAAGTCCCCCTCTTTCTTCTTCCTTTCCTTTCCAAGGCAGGAAATTCTACTGCATGGCATCCTTCACATCCACAGTTATCCAACAGCAGCACCACGTCTCCTGAAATCCCCTCCCTATTTTTCCTCAAGAAGCTGCACGGCTCAAAGGTGTTGGGCAAGGATGGAGCAGTGTCCAGGCACTCCAAGCCCAAGGTCTTCCCAGGTCCCAGCAGAGACTGGGACAGCCTGGGGCCTGCTCTGAGCCAGGTCAGGCAGCAACAGCTCCCATGGGCTGGTCAGAGTGTCCCCAAAGCAGGGACTGCTGGGGCAAGGATGAAAACTGGAAGCATTGTTCTCATCCCACCCTGGGGCTTCCCCAGCCCTCCCTGCCCCTTCAACTTGATCCTGAACTTGGCCTGTGAAAGCCCCAATCCCTGCTCTGCACAGGGAGCTCAAATCTGAGGTTTATGCTCAATAATCCAGAGTAAATAAAACACTCTAGTGTGTAATGTTGAACTTTGGGGGAGTGAGGGTACAGAGATTTTTTGGCAGAACCTCAAATCAAGTGTTGGGGAAGGGGGGAATTTGCAGCAGGCAAGGAAACAAACCACATGTAGAGAAGAGATTGCGGACTAAAGGATTTAGAAAAGGAGACCGGAGCAGGAACACAAATCTGAGCGGCCAGAGGGCTCCCTAAGTCCCTGGGAAACAGCAACACAGCCAAAAGGGCCGGTGCCCTTCCCCCTCTCCCCGTTTCTGCTGCTCTCACTAATTCCTTTTACCGCTGCCAAACCCAAACCACAGCAGCGCTGTCCCCTCCTACACAGCGGTTTTGGGGCTGGGGACGGGGCTGTGCAGCCTCCCGGGAGAGGTGGCACGGCTGGAAAGGGCTGTGCCAGCCCGGGGAGCCCCGATACCCCACACACCCCGAGCCCCACAGCGGGCACCGGCCGGCCGCGGGAGGGGTTCCTTCTTGTCGCATCTCCCTCATCCATCAGGGTGTAATCGCGAAACCGCAGGCTGGAGTTAAATAGTTATGGGTGTTCTAAAGGCGAGAGGGAGGTTTGAACGAGCGGGAGCCGGGGTTTGGCACAGGAACAGCCGGGACCGGCTCCTGTGGCTGCCCAGAGTCAGGCGGGGGCTCGGCCGGGAGGCTCCGGGCTCTGACCCGGCCCTGAGGGGCAGCGCTGGGACCCCACAGGACACATCTGAGCTTCATCCCCGCGGCTCCCTGAGGGCACCGGCGAGGCGTGGGCCGGGGTTACCGCAGCGGGGCCGCAGCCTGCCCGGCTCACCTGACTGAGGTAATTAGGCGGGCTCGCTAATTACCTTGTGCGGAGTAACGGGCGGGCGGGCGGCCGCGCTGAGAGGAGCCGGCGCTACCCCCCCCCCGCCGCCTCACAGACACCCCCTTACACCTCACTTTCCCATCACCCTCACACCCCCCGGCTCACCGGAGCGCCATAATTAGGGTGCGCTCGCTAATTACTCGCGCAGGGTAACGCTGCCCCCCCCTTCTCACGGCCCTGCGCATGCGCACTGCCCCCCCCGCGCCTCACCTGCGCCCCGCAGGTGAAGCCGCGGCGGGAAAAGGGGCGGGAGCGCCGTAACGGCCCCCGGCGGCGCATGCGCACAGCGCCGCCCCCCCCGGCTCCCGAGTGTGTGTGTGTGACACCCCCTCACACACCGTGCGCGCTCCCGCTCCCCTCAGCCCGTCCCGCGTGTCCCCCGCGTCTCCACCCGCCAACACTCACCCTCGCTCGTGCGCCGACCCGCTGCCCTCAGCCCCAGGAAGGGGGGGGGTGTCACGAGTACGAGTCTGTCCGTCTCGTCCTTTCCCCCCCCCGCCCCCCCCCCCCCCCCCCCCCCCCCCCCCCC